GTCAGGTCATCTGAACTTTTTTCCGAGTATGAAAGCAAAAATAATATTATAAAAAATAACGTTATGTCTTTTAATTTGCAAAACAACTGTTCACTTTTTCAATTGTTCTTGTGCATTCAGAGATCCCACTGTGAGTGTTTTGAAACTATAATATATTGGAGGCAAAGTCTTAAATAGTGTCTGGCATAATTAAAGGCTTATACTGTGAGACATCAGTGCCCATGTTGAGATTCATTGAACAATGGCTCTTAATCCCACAGTAAGCAGCTGTTTGTGCATGGAGATGGAGTCAACCTGAAAATAAGGCAGTTCTCCTCCAAACACGGCAACAACTAATCCTCCACACGGCATTACGGATTCATGTTTTATATTCAGGAAAACAATACTTGCACACACTGAGAACAAAAGGAATACTTTGCAGGCAAGGAGAGATAATTGCATAGCCAGAAGTCAGAGAAAAATAAACAAGGACAGCTGTAGATGTTGGCAGGTTTGGTGACTTTGTGTCATGTAAAGAGACTGCAGCATAGGTAGAGATAAAGTGACATGAAAGGAATAATTCACCCCAAAATAAAAATTAGCTGAAAATGTACTCGCCCTCAGGCTATGTGGGTAAGTTTGTTTCTTCTTTAGAACTTTTGGAGAAATGTAACATTATATCAATTGCTCACCTGTGGATCCTCTGCAGTGAATGGGTGCCGTCAGAATGAGAGTACAAACAGATGATAAACATGTAGCTTTTTACTTCACAAGACATTAATAGATGGACTGGTGTGGATTACTTGTAGATTATTGTGATGCTTTTTCAGCTGTTTGAAATGACGGCACCCATTCACTGCATAGGATCCATAGGTGAACAAGTGATATAATGCTAAATTTCTTTACAGATGAAAAACAAAATCATTTACATCTGGGATGGCCTGACGGAGAGTACATTTTCAGCTAGTTTTCAATTTTGGGTGAACTGTTCCTTGAAGTCAGAGTTGGTGATTTTAGCAACATGAAGGACAGCAACTGATGTCCAGTGTCAAAGTGAAGGAAAGTTTCATTTTATGCAAAAAAAATCAGTAATGCGTGATGGAGGGCATTCATTTTCTAACATTGCATGTTGTGCAAGGCCCACTGAAAATCCATTCAGCCTCCGTGCTCAGATCTCAGCAGGTGCGCTACGCATTTCAAACCCCCTTCTGGCCCTCTCAGCTCTCATTGGTTTGTTAAGGTGCAGTTTTTAGCACAGGCAAGTTTTGGCAGTCAAAAACGTGAGCACACAGGAGGAGAAGCACAATTATAATTAGCTGAGCTGACAACATGCCAATGGCTCACACACTCACACACTTATCAGCCTCATTTTGTCTTCTTTTTATTCCTTTCAAAAGAAAGCAATGTTCAATTTGTTTGTACAGATTTTGTTGTGTTTCAAACACCATTTCAAGCAATTATCCAGAGGGAGAATCTGGAGTAACACACTGACATTAATGGAAACTAGTAAGGGTTGGGTATTGTGGATCAATTCTGCTGCATTATTATTGTTCTTTTGTTTTGAATAGGTCATGATTTGCAAAAATTTGGCAGCTTGACGGATGTTGATTCAGAAAGGAAGCGTTAATGTTTTATGGCAAAACATAACGCTCAGCTAAAAGCTTTCTTCTCTTCAACAGCTGCTCAGTTCAGCTGTATTGATCCAGCACAGGTGAGATGTTTTCTTGGCACGCCTCATAGATCCTCTCATTGTTGTTTAACTCTTTTGTAGCTCACCAATCCTTCAAAATGCCTTCTAAAGATTTGCTCAAAGCCTTGGCAAGAGCAAAGGACAGCAACACACAGAACATATTTCTTTTTGTTGCTCATGTATCCTTCAAACACAATCTCTTTAGACTAATCGGGGTTTCAATTGGATTAAATGAGCCTAAGTGACCTATGCTAAGTCTTTTTTCTCTATTTACATTTATGCTTTCAAAAAGTCTCATGATTAATAGGTCCATACATACTCTGTTGATGAATTTGCATGAACTCAAATCTGATGAAAAAAGCATCCGAGTATTTGCAGTGAATGCATTTGGGTAGTTGACGTCCTGCGGTGTGACATGCTGTATTCCATATAAACATCACTTTGCTCATTAATTCTAATTATTATGCATGCAGTTTTATGAGCTCATATTGAGAGATTAAAGGGAATATTTGCATTTTTAAAAACTCATTTGTTACACCGCTGAACCGTTTAAAATGAACTAGTATATGGTATATGGTAATATATGGTAGGATAGTAACACTTTGTCATAAAGTTAAATTCATTACCATTAGTTAATTTGTTAACATGAACTAACAATGAAAAGTGCATTTATTAATCTTAGTTAATGCTAATTTCAACATTTACAAATATATTATTAAAATGAAAAGTTGTGTCTGTTAATATTATTATCATTACTATTTATTAATGGACCTAAGCTAGCAATGAACAGTTGTATTTCTATTAACTAATGTTAACAAAAGATTAATAAATATAATAACAAATGAATTTCTCATTGTTAATGCTAGCTAATTACTAAAAAAGATTCATGAATATATGCTAAAATATATACTATATCATGCATTCATAGTTCAACCTAAAATTTTGATATTGATTTAAAAAAGAAAATTAATTCATTCTGTTTTTTCCTTTTAAAATAATTGCATCCACTATAGTGGTGCACATTGTTCAGATTCGCTCACCAATATTCTGAGTGCTGGATTTAATAAGCATGAAATGGCATGTGCCAATCAGCCATATGGAGTTTCCTTTCTTCCTCAAGCTCCAACACTCACAAATGTTTTTGGTGCAGAAAGTAAGACTAATTTTATGAACATGAATATGGCTGGTCTTACACTTTTTTTCTTTCTCCGTGAAAAACTTTATGGAGGTGTGAGGTCTGACAGCCTGAGGAGCACAGATGGCGCCCCTCTCGCAGAAATCCTTTTGAAATCCCTTTGAAGCCATGAAAAAATGAAGAGCGAATGAAAATAAATTAAGAGATCCACTCAAGAAGATTGAACTGGCTGATTCAGACTTTATAGGAACCAGAAGTGTGATCGCTGGACTTTTATCGCAGAAAGAAGACTGATGTTTGATATTTCACATTGTGGCAGGTTATTGATTTATTTTATTTTATTGTTTGATATGCAATCAACATTTTAGCAGAGCACTGAGTTCAGAAAAGAACACTAACACCACTGCTTCTCTTCTGAACTAAAATTTCAATTTAATTGAAATATGGCACTTTATTCCACGATAAATACAGTGTTAAATCACTCTAAAAGTGCACAAACTGCAGGATGTATAATGCAAGAGTCAGACATGCACTTCTGTGATCAATAAAAGATTCATTTGAGGAAAGGATGTGAATGTATAAGTAAACGCCCGGTCACTCTGCGTGCAGACTAATCAGATTACCTGACAGCAAGACAAACAGTCCTACATGGAGGTATTGATTCAGCTAATTATGCTCAATAAAAGTTGTGTTTGTGATTGGAATCATAACCAAAATAAGTCGATGCAAGAGAGTCTACAAATGAGACTTGTTGCATTTGTATCCAGTGTATTGGACATACTTTGGCGGCACATTACTTTGGCTGCAGACACTTGTGTTAACTTGAGTGCTCTTGAGTAACTTGTGTTGGGTGTGAAGATGGGATCAGTGCATATATGTCTTGGAAAACCTTTTATTTTAATTAAAAATAAAACAGGGTCCATAAGATGTAAGCTAATGGGCAGTCCAGAGGGGCAGAAGGTCATGTCGCCAAACTAAAAATTGGGATCTACAGAGAACGGTCAAATATGTGTACATATAGTTTATAAGGACTGTAGAAAGCACTTATTTAGTAAAACAAAGCCAAAACCCAGCTATTTTGGACAATTTAGACATTTAGAAAAGAAACAGAGGTCATATGGTAATACGATTGTTGCTTGTCAGAATGTACGAACATGATCCCAGCTATAAGCCATATCACACTGTTGGATCTTAGTTGTCATTAATGTTAGACTGTAACAGTCTAAAAATGGACACACGCAAAGACTCGGCCTAGAGTTTTACCTCGTCAATTCGTGACATGTTTTGGTGATTGTGAGCTGCATTCATATGTGGAATTGCAAGCAAAAATAGCATTAATCTCTAGCATTAATTTTGATCATGGAAAAGAAAAATGGAACAAAAATGAAGACGATGTGTTTGGAGCAAGTGGTAGTTTGTTGATGTCGCACTAATTGCGTCATCAGGTTCTGTGCTCGTAATGATTTTTTATTTGACAGTCGTAGTAGGAGTAAATGATTTTTTATTTGACAGTCGTAGTAGGAGAAGCCACACTGCAGGACTCTCCCTCAAAACATCTGACATTGACAGAATTTCATCAGAGGTATAATCTGATCGCAGTGCTCATTATTCGGTTGTCGGCGAATATGTCAAACTAGCAACTGACTAGGATAACTAGGATAAGAGGAATGTTTTGCATTTAGATGGCCAAATTGAGGCCAAAATTGTACAGTGTGCACCCATCTTAACATTTTATTTTTAGTATTTAAAAAAAATATTTTCATGTCAATGTTATGATAAATGTTATCATACACACAACATACGGGGTAAATATAATCTACAAAAATTTGTATATAACCTGTGAATAATTTTATGGCCATTTTTGAAGTGTTGGAAGAACACTTCATTTCCCAGAATGCTCTAATTTGCCCAAATTGTGAGATGGTCCTCACTGCCGAACACAAGATCCAGGGGGCGTGGTTGGATCCCGATCCAACTCCTCCCACCTTACATATACCTAAACCTATCCATCTCTACCCCCTGATCCTTAAACCCACCCATCTCCACCCCTTAACTTACCAATCTTCAACCCCTAGATGTGGCTCCAACCACGCCCCCTGGATCTTTTGTTCCGCAGTGAGGGGCTACTGCAAATTGTGATGTCATCAAACATGTCCATAGTTAATGTGATGGGCTACACCTGTCTGCTAAGACCTTGTGTGTGAACTTGAGGAGCACTGGTTTTTATTTTGTTGATTAAAAGTAATTGCAAAAATTGACTGCAAAATGTTAAGTTAGTTCTGAGAAAGTTCTAGCACCATTTGAGAAAAAGAAAGCAAGACCAAGTGAAAGAGAACGATTTAGGGCACACTAAGAATCAGGTGTGTTGCTGCACCTATTTGCCAACTGCTCTATTTTGGGACTGGCAATGGCGTGAAAATGAATTGAGGGAATGCAGATCTTCCATCATACTCATAGTACATATATAGGTAAGTTCTCTGGGTTGTTTTAGTGGATCATGCTTCAAATCCCCTTCCATATGACTATCTGTATTTTTTTCTCAATTCATTATTCCACCTACTCAAATCCTTTATAAACCATTCTTCTCTTATCTAATTTGTAAAGTGATTGTGTTTCTATGTGCCGTCTATTTCGTTCATTATCAAATTAGAATATTTTCTGTCAAGCTAGTAAATTCACCACGTAATTGATACCTGCATCTTGTTCGGACTAGACGCTGGTTCATTATTGGCCTGAGGCAAGATGAATCTATTCACATGCTCATTTTATTATTAGATAATGTATTAAAAGCATGTAAGCAGAGATTGTTTAATATCATCATTGTTTCATGACCTCAGGCTGTCATGAATGGAGGCATCTTGTAAACTGGTTGAACTAAGGGTTGAGGTGCGAGTTATTTTTGACTTCCACTCCACCTTCTGCTCAATTTATTAGAGTAAATGAGAAGGTTTTTCCTCAATTTTAATGACAGCCTGTAATGCTCTGCAATATTAAGATGATGTGCCATTCATTAGAGTAAATTGTCTTTTGAAAGCAGCTGTTCTCTAAAAACAAAACCAGGACTTATGAAAAGTTCTTTGGTGTTTTCCACTTCTTATCCATTTGAGTCTCATTGCAGCTATTATAAACGCAGAAATGTAATCATGTAAAGACGTAATCTCTAGGCTTCTTCTGACCTCAATACGCTGAATGTTTCTTTCTAAAAACCAGTATGATTGCTGGGAGTATTGCTCATAACTCGGAAGGGAGTAATTATTCAGAAAAAGTGCAGTGGAAAGCAAAACTGGGCAAATATAGCAAGACCTAGATACAGAGATTGAGAACTAGCATATGTGTGTGCGCGGTTGCATGAATGTATACTCTGATCTGTGCGTTAGTTTCATTTAAACCTTTACTATTCCTTAATTTTTCTTATTCTGAATCTGATGATCTATTGCACCAAAACATGGTTCAGTCTCCATGTCTGTAATATTAATATCTGCCATCTAAAAATTATGTTTTGACCTCTGTAAACTAGATCCGAGTGAACTTAAAAGTAATTTTCTAATGATTAAACCCATTTGAGTTTGATATTTCAGTCTGATCTCATTTATTATTTGTAGGTGTTCATATGTAACGGTTTCACATATGTTTTTGACATGTGGAGATGTTGAAATACCACAGGACCTAAAAAGTTAAGGTATTTGAATGCACAGCTTTAGAAATGTTAAAATCTTTACGAATCCTTTATTTGATAAATATACTTGTATAGTTAAGTTTTTCTATTGTATAGATATTTTGAGCACCTTAACAGTGACAGTTTTAGTATAAATCTATATAATAGTATATTGTAAGATCGTTTTATAGTATGTGTTTGTTCCAGATAAATACAAATTATATGATTATGTAACGATGACAGCTTTTATTCATTTTGAAGATTCGGCTTTGGTAAATAAATGAATCCATGTTTTGAACAAATAGGTTGAGTAAATGATTCAATGACTCATTCATAAAAACAGTAGCTGAATTCTGAATAGCACACTAGCATACTACTTTTACTTTCTGTCACATGAAGACACAACCCGATCTCATGAGTATTTCATGAATTCTGTTTCTATTTGGTGTACTATTTATATGTAAAAATGAACTTTGGCATGCATATGATATGCAATTAGTAGGTTTAGGGGTGTGGGGTAGGTGCGTATTATATGTACACCAAAATGCGTATTATATGCACACCAACAAAGTGCGTATCGTATGCACGCCAAAGTCAGTTTCTGCGTATAAATAGCACACAAGAAAAAATTGTGCAATTGATACGCTTTTTCATGAGACCGGCTTGAAGACATGGCATAAATAATAAGAGTAGTATGCTATCCTGAATTCAGTTACTTGAATCAGCGTTTTCGAGGACTTTAATGTTGTATAATGCCAAATATCAACCACAATGTCAACCATCATAATTCCAAATCAGTTTAATGTGATTGCATTTAACATTTAATTAATTTCATGGATTAAAAACGTGTTAGAATGCTGTTACTAATGTGCATTTCAGATGCCAGAATTACACCTTATAAACAAATGTCTACCAAATCCCAATGGAAAGCAGAGCTTTTCCAACAACTTGCAAGATGAACGACAGACTTGATTTTCCTCTTTCTGTTGACTCGTGTCATCTGTCGTGGTTCTTTTGAAGCAGTGGAGATGGAAGTGTCTATAAATGGATCCTGGAGATGCAATCTGCACTGGTTTGTGCTACAGACAGAGCTTGCTTACAGGATGTGATATATGATAAGGCTCTTGGCCAGTTTCCCTAGTGGTATCTGAGATGATGGGGCTGTGATTTCAATTGACATCCTCAACTAAACATCATTCCTCTAGAATGTACAAAGAAATGATTGCTGCTAGTCGGCTGTGTAAAAAATGTAATATTATGTAAATTACCCAATGCTGAAGGCCCAGTTTTTTACCTCAGCTTGAGTGTCTCTTTCTTCAAAATAACTTCATGCACTATCATGATTGATTAAACTTGCTAGGTGTCTCGATATTCTCTAGATGGCACATAGCATCCCCCCGAGCATCGGGACTGTCTTGTGTTCAGCATCTGTCAGGATCTATATTCCCCTGCCTGCACCAACACATCCTGTGAAGGACAAATTAATTAGCTGGTGCAAATGCTAGCAGATGGCTTTGAAGGACACTCGCTGTACCTCGGGTGAAAACGCTTGCCCAAATTCATGTAGATTTCCCTTATCGCATATCTCAAGATGCTGCCATGTGTCCACCCCGGAGAAGACCCTGAAGTATGTACTCGGGAAAACCCGTCTGCTGCCGTTTCACAATTCAATTTTTCTAACAAAAACCCTGATTTGCAATAATTTTAACCTGGCGAGGAGGATAAGAAAGATTAATTCAACGTCATTACAAAGCTCACAATTTCAGTTGCTTGGAACAGAAACGAGTGCTATCCGCCGTGGCCCGCTTTCACTTCCAACTGTAATTACAAATAATCAGTCCAATCAGTATGCTAATCTCTCATGTTCAAACCGACGATTCATCAAAGTCGCTAATTCGCAGGCTGTCTCTGGTCTTTTATTTTGCCCTCTTTTCTGCAAATGCGATAACCGGTTAACATTATCGGTGCCTTATAAGGCCCGGGCCAGAACAATGGTACCAGTCCAATTCTGAATGAACTGAAAAGGTGGCGGAGAAGACAGCATTGTGATTTTTGTCACTACGTGGCTGATAAAGAGAGTCTGCGAGGAGAATGAACGGAGAGGCCTATCAATTATAGCTCAATTGTTTCCTATTCATTTCTAATTTAATGAGGGGGGAGACGGTAGCATAGTAGCGTACGGTATGGAAACAAAGGCCTACGCAAGCCTTTTAGGCTTCGTATCCCGGCACAAACGAACACCGAAATCCCCTCAAGTCTCATGTTATTGTTTGTGTGCTTGAGTCAATCGCATTGGGGAACAAAACATTCAAGTGTTTTGAATGACAGTGAATACATTATTCTTGACGTTTTTTTATGATTCAGGTTGCGGTTTTATCTGTTTTTAATCTGCCTTGTCTTAAATTTGATGAAGCCGAAGCTCGCAGTGCCAAATTATGATGAGTTTATCAGCATAAACGCATAGGAGGTGTAATTATTCTCATACAGTGATTAAGAGTTAGATTTCCCACAAGGTACGACGAATTGTCTCAGGCAGATTGCGACAATGAATGTAAGCAGTAAGTCATCAAATGAATGATTGCTTGTGTCTAATTGGAGATGTTCATTTTGAGACCGCATGTGGAAGAGCGTGAGGGGAGGGGGTGCTTTATTAACATGGGTCTTCGCACAAATCAAAGGTTCAGAAAAGGAAATGAACCATTCAGAAGTCATCGCAAATGACAGATATTCCTCGACGTTAGGGGAATGTGATGACTGCTGCGTTTTTGAAATGCAAAATTGACAGTTTAATTACCTTTGCCTAACGTGAAGATGAAAAGGGTCTGAGTCACTATGAGAGCGCGTGTACATTTACAGTGGGTTTTTTCTTTTAAATGATCCTATGAATCATGTGAATGCTCACCGTTTTGGCAAGCACAGCACTTTTTGAACCTGTGCACCCCTCACATGTATCCACAGAAATCAAACATGATTATACTTTGTGTTCATAACACCATTCGCTTCACTGAGTTTAAATGATGTTGCTTTTACCGAAGTGCATTTAAGGTTTAATGGTTTGAAAACCAATTGAGTAGATGATGTTTGGGAAGGTGATTGTAGTGTCTTGTGATGTGATATGCCTCACTCTCAGAAAAACGGTACAACAGCTGTCAGTTGGGCAGAACTGTACTAATATGTACCATTTATGGATAAATAAGATACAAAAATGTACTTTTGAAAGGTTGCTAGTTACAGCTTTGTTCCATTTGATTAAAAATCATTTAAAATTAAGAATTATAATAAAAAATAGACAATTTATTAATTCAGGTTTTATGAGCTCATAATAATGGAGTGATTAAATAGAATATTTATGCATAATAAAAAATAATAGTAATAAGTAAAAAAAAAATAACAATAAGTAAACTATTTTGCCAGTGTTAGAAAGGTGGAGAGTTCAGGAAACCTGTTTGAAAACGTTTTTTATTATTATTATTATTTTTGCAGTTTCATTTGGTGATAATTTTTGTTATATATTATATTATTATATTTTTCCTTTAAATGAAGCGGTTATAAATGGAAATTATAAACTACACCTTTTATATAACCGCAAAAGGCAAAAATGTGTTAGAAAATGGTGGAAAATTACCAATAATGTACCAAACTATAACTTTCCATTTTGATTTCATTTAACAAGGGCGTGAACATCACATTTTTATTCATTACCCATTAACATTGTTTAACTGCAATTTCATTTTGGACTTTTAATCATGTTGATTAGGTCAAATTTTCTCTCTCTCTCTCTTTCCTCTTCCATTCTCCCAGCCCCAACACACAGTCAGTCACAAAAGTGAAAGTTATATAACATGTCAAACCTAGTGCCTCTCAGCTTTAACTCGGATCAAAGTGTGTCTGTCTCCCTGAAGATGTCCTTGGTATTTTCCTCTGCTCAGGTACCATACCAACCACAGCACCAATATTTACTCTTAGTACCTTTAAAGGAATTGTCCTCTCCTTTATCAACAACAAAAAATAATTTCCATTAGTGTAATATAACGAATGTAAAGGCGGGTTTGTTGCAGACTTTTAATCTCGCACCAGTATGTTCTCTTCATTGACATACACTTAAATAATGATTTGAATCACCCTATGGGCAGCTGACTGACACGTTTTGCCACTTTGAAGCCCACAGGTTGAGTTTCGCTCTCATTTCCTGAATGAGATTTCCCTGCCATCTCACCCTGCAGACATCTACATCCAGCTCACTGGGCTTCTTTATCAAGGAAAAGAGTTAAAACTGAATCGATGCAGCACACAATGAAGAAGTGGACTCCAGTGTAAATTGGCTCACTTGGGAGACAGAAGGTGTCTCGCTTCACATAGAGTAAGAGAGAAGAGATGTCTATTCAGGTCACCAGAAGCACATATATTCAGTAGCAGAGTGATGAATAAAAGGGACGTTTGCGATGCATATCACAGGAAATGGCTTCATCGCTGATGTATTTCTTTTGGTGTCTTGGTGTTTTCTGCAGTAAGAGATGCAGGTTGAATTGTCTCGTCTTATTTTGAATTTAGTTTTTTTTTGTCTGTTCATTGTTGGTTGTTTCTTGTTCCCCTTATGATGATTGTGCCCACTCAAGGTCTCGTTAAGTCTAATTTAGCTCTATTTATGATCTGCTGCTCGCTCAGTCATTTATTTCTTTTTCTTTTTTTTTTAATGCAATGTTCGGTGAATCTTTGTTCTTTATTGTTTTTGTATTGAATTCACTTTAAAGCTTTCCTTTAGCTAGTTTCAGATTACAAAAAAGTAATCTGATTACTTTTTTTGAATTAAGAAGTAAAAGTTCAGTGGTCCAACAATAATGATTTGAATGAAAAATGCAGATTTTGTTATCGAACCCTGACTATTTAGATAATACCAGCGCTCAGTCATTTATTTATTTTTCTTTTTTTTTGAATGCAATGTTCGGTGAATCTTTGTTCTTTATTGTTTTTGTATTGAATTCACTTTAAAGCTTTCCTTTAGCTAGTTTCAGATTACAAAAAAGTAATCTGATTACTTTTTTGAATTAAGAAGTAAAAGTTCAGTGGTCCAACTATAATGATTTGAATGAAAAATGCAGATTTTGTTATCGAACCCTGACTATTTAGATAATACCAAGATTTACCTTCAGGGCCGTTTGATTTTTAAATGATTTATTAAAGCTTCAAAAGGTATTCAGTCAAAAACTCTTTAAAAAAAAAACCCATCTTAAGCTGGTTTGGTGGTCTTCCAACCTGATCTGGGCAGCGTTTCACCAAAGTAGGTAGATCTTTGGTGCCAATATGAAGTAGTCTAATTTTACAAGTATAATTTTCTTCTTTTTTTTCTCTCTTCTAATTAATATTCATTCTAGTTAAGCCAAGCTCTAAAATATTTTACCAGGCAGAAACTGAGTAAAACAATATTTTTACAATCCTTATTCAGTAAACTGCGAACAGCTGGAAGAGTAATGTAAATTTGTTTGTTAAAAAACTGGGATCCTTGAAAAACAATCAGCTCCTAAAATGACTGGAATTATGAAATGTAATTCATTGTAATTATTTTAGTTGCTTTTTTTAATTTATAAAAACTGGGAGTGCCAATAAATTTAATCCAACTATCTAAAACTTATTTGGATGTTGAACGTATTGATACTTTAATCCATATTTGGCAAACTAACACTTCAGTAAACTGAGTTCAAAAAATATTGCACCACATTGAATCATGTGAACATTTTTCAAATATTGTCTTGTGTCCCACAGAAGAAAGAAACTCCGGTTTGGAATGACATGAAGGTGAGTAAAGGAAACTGTTTTTATTTTTGAGTAAAGAATATGGCACCCCAAAATGCCCATAGCAAAGGGAATATTGTGATTAAATTCATAGTCTAGTGTTGAGTCCTGCAATGTGATTCTAAGGTTCACTGTGTGTTTGTGGACTTCCAATCTGAATATAAATGCATAAATAAGCAAGTGAGAAAAGCAGCCTGCTCATTTATTTATCTTCCTGTGTACCTGTTTCACAGCCACCACTCGCCCATTGATTAGACGCCGCATTGGCAGGGTTTGCACTTCCTGCAGACTCGGACCCCTCTGAGCACCCACACAATAGGGACGGTTCATGTGCCAGGTAATTGGCGTCTGTGGGGGACAGGTGCTCCCACAATGCAGCAGGGATCTCTGCCGAGTCTTCTTTCACATGACCGTAATTACCTAATTGAAAAGCTCACTGGGGGGAAATAGGAATGAGAGATAAGGTTTCTTTCACCAAATCTCAGGCTGCTTTTCTGTCGAGCTGAAAAAACATCTATTTGTTGCCTCGATATGAAGTAGTCTAATTTTACAAGTATCATTTTCTTCTTTTTTTTCTCTTCTAATTAATATTCATTCTAGTTAAGCCAAGCTCTAAAATATTTTACCAGGCAGAAACTGAGTAAAACAATATTTTTACAATCCTTATTCAGTAAACTGCGAACAGCTGGAAGAGTAATGTAAATTTGTTTGTTAAAAAACTGTGATCCTTGAAAAACAATCAGCTCCTAAAATGACTGGAATTATGAAATGTAATTCATTGTAATTATTTTAGTTGCTTTTTTTAATTTATAGAAACTAGGAGTGCCAATAAATTTAATCCAACTATCTAAAACTTATTTGGATGTTTAACGTATTGATACTTTAATCCATATTTGGCAAACTAACACTTCAGTAAACTGAGTTAAAAAAATATTGCACCACATTGAATCATGTGAAAATTTTTCAAATATTGTCTTGTGTCCCACAGAAGAAAGAAACTCCGGTTTGGAATGACATGAAGGTGAGTAAAGGAAACGTCTCGGTTACGTATGTAACCCTCGTTCCCTGAAGGAGGGAACGGAGACGTCACGTCGGAGGACCGACGAATTGGGATCTCGCTTAGAGGGACCAATCTACTTCGAGTGTAAACTAAACGAGCCAATGCACATTGGCATGCGATTATTGCATCCAGCTGCTGCTGATCACAGCGTGAGTATAAGTAGGCAGCAGGTGCAGCGCATATTCAGGTTTTCGCTGAGGAGCCGAGCCGGTGACCCGGCCGCTCAGCGGTGGCACAGGAGCTGTGGCGACGGGACGTGACGTCTCCGTTCCCTCCTTCCCAAATATCATTCCAAAACTTCATTTCCATAAAAAAATTAGTCGAATTGTTAACTTGCATCTAATTTACTTTTTTTTTCTCCAATCAAAATGTTAAAATATAAGTAGTAGTAATAATAATAATAGGATTATTTAAATCCTATTAGTCTTTTGTAATAAATTATTAAGGTCCTTAAGATAAAACAATTAAGGATAATGTCATTTTAAAGTATCATTGTTGTTGTTGTTATAAGTATTAGTATTAAAAACTAATAAAATGACAAAAATCAGTATCATAATATCAGAAGATCAGTTAACATAAAAAAAGGCAAATGTTTTCCTTTTGAATTTTTATTGATTGATTTTAGTAGTAGTAGTACTTTTTTAAACATTATTTTGCAGTGCGGCCTGTAATACTGTTTATTTTCATAAAAGCAGTGAATTGATGAAACTTGATACAGACAACTCCCCACAATCTTTTCGTTCTTTAAATGTTGGGAATATAGATTTGTAGAATCATCATCCTGGTTGTCAGATACAAGAGGATGACCACCTACAGGCCCTCATTATTGTTCTATCAGGTCTAGCCTTTGACCTGCACATCCTTGTAAATCAGCTCTTATGATGGCCTCAGGTAGTCCAGACATGGATTATTTGCTGCTACATTGATCCATGAGATGTAACTATGAAACATGACAGCAGTCTCATTGTGTTCTGTAGTCTGTGAAGTTATCACGACCTTCAAGCACAGGTTGCTGATGCTTCAAATGGACTGTATGCAGGTCAGCTTCTTTATTATAAATGAGTTAGGTCTTCCTTGTGTCATTAACATCTACTGCTTTAAGGGTTGCCAAGTAATGCTATTTTAATCGTTTATCTCATTACAGAACTTCCCAGGGCCATTTCCTCTTTTTTTGTGCTCCAAGAGCTATAACGTCAGTTTTTCACTTTGCAAATAAGTATGTCTCAGCCTGTAATGAGATGAAGAAAGTATTGTTTGGATGTGGTTCAGTATTTACTGTTGTGTTATGTGATCACAGAACAAAGCCACTGTAATCACTCTGACACTGCCTGTTTTTATAAAAACCTGAATCAATGCTGCTCCCTGGTGGAGGAAAGTTGTAACTTTTTGTTTATTTATTTAGTTTTTTAATTAAAAAAAAAATCTGACAGTTTAGAAGCAGGTGTTTATTTAATTTTATCCAGTCAGTTGCAAATGTTCTATCAGCTTTATGTAAATTTCTAAAAACTAATGTAAACTCCACATTTTCAGTTTGTTGTTTGTAGCTTGTACTAAATCCTTTCTGTGATTTTATTTGGTTTTAAAATGATAGGTTTAAAAGAATAGTTCGCCCAAAAATAAAAATGAACTGATAATTTACTTAACCCTTCAGGCCATCCAAGTTTGTTTTAATGGTGGAAGCATTATTGTGGATTATAGACTCCTATTTTGGCCGGAAGCAAGTGAAGTTAAAAACATCATAATGATGGATTGGTTTCTTACAAACACGCAGCTTTTTATAAGACGTTAACTGATGGACTGGAGTCGTGTGGATTATTGTGATGCTTTTATCAGATGTTTGGACTCTCATTCTGACGGCACCCATTCACTGCTGAGGATCCATTGCTGAGCAAGTGATGTAATGCTACATATCTCCAAATCTGTTCTGTTCCAGTAAAGAAACAACTCCTCTACATCTTGGATGGCCTGAGGGTGAGTACATTTTCAGCAAATTTTCATTTTTAGGTGAACCTTTAATATTTTTTTCATTCTTGCTCCAGTAATTCTTCAGTGGGGAATGAAAAGTGAATGTCACAAAGTCTAATTAGTGATATATATTTTTATTACATATGAACATCATGTAAAATGAACACGATATTTACATTTTCAAGTATTTCCCAATTTATGCTATGACCTCTTGCAGTACATTCCGTATCAGTCTTAAAGAAACAGTACATCCAAAAGCACTACAAAAGAAGCATAACAGTAGTCACAACAATTTACCTTGTTTCTGGAAATTAAGTCGTTCAGATTTGGAATGGCATTTGGCTAAATGACTTTTTATTTGTATTTTTTTACTGTCCCTTTAACTGGGATAAAAAAATATCAGTTTAAATTCACATTTCATCATTCAACCCATTCTACTAATATTGCACAGATTCGAATGGAAGAGCAGCAATGCTCCTATCCTGTCTCGGAGAATACATTTCTGTCATTATTCAGCAACAACATTACAGCTCAGCCACCTGCTGGAAGCATTTTCTGGATCTTCCTTACAGACATTCCAAGTCCTCTGGTAAAGAAATTACTAACTTTCCCACCGTATGTGTGAGTGGTTCTGTTCAGCGCCTCCTCCAGGGGAAACAAGAATGATTTTATGAGATCCTCTCCAAATATGTACTGCCAGAAAATAGTAAAGAGTTGATTTATTAGCTTTGGAATGGATGGGGGGGGAAAACAAAAGTGAAAACTAGCAACTAACAAATCCCCTCTAAAATAATACAACATACATGTTTGAAAGCGTCATACACGGCCTGTTGCCATGTAGCATTAAAACACCCCCCTTCCTCTGCCAGGATGCAGTTGCTGCCATAGATGCAGTGGTCAGGACGGTAGTTCCAGGGGCAGGGGAAGGTAAATATCATCTCTGGGTGAACACACACATATGTTATAGAGACTTGAAAGGGAATAAAACCATAAGGAATGGACGAAATCCAGAAAGGCTTACCTGGATTGTAATGGAAGATGATATTGGTCAGATCTTGATCACCCCAGGTTATGTTAAGCTTGTATTCCTGTAACAGAGGCATTAGAAGCTTGTCCCAGTGCAGACCAACAGAAGTCATGCCATTCTGTCCATGCAGAGAAAAAAAGAAAAAGAGTAGAGTTTGTAATGAGTAAAGAGACCTTTACCCCCCTCTTCTGGACTCAAATGTAATTACATGTTAAAAAAAACCATCAACATGGAGTCATAAATAGATGTTTTGCACAAATTTGACTCGAATGTATTTAAATAAGTAGCACAACTGTTTTCAACACCGATAATATGAACTGTTTCTTGAGCACTAAATCAGCATATTAGAATGATTTCAGAAGGATCATGTGACACTGAAGGCCGATTTAATGGCTGCTGAAAATTCAGCTTTGCCATCACAAGAATAATTTGTTTTAAAGTATATTAAAATAGAAAACATATTAAATTGAAGTGATATTATTTCACAATAATAGAAAGAGACCTCTTTCATAATATTTTTCAGAAATCTTACCAAGCACCCCAGGTTATGTTAAGCTTGTATTCCTGTAACAGAGGCATTAGAAGCTTGTCCCAGTGCAGACCAACAGAAGTCATGCCATTCTGTCCATGCAGAGAAAAAAAGAAAAAGAGTAGAGTTTGTAATGAGTAAAGAGACCTTTACCCCCCTCTTCTGGACTCAAATGTAATTACATGTTAAAAAAAAACCATCAACATGGAGTCATAAATAGATGTTTTGCACAAATTTGACTCGAATGTATTTAAATAAGTAGCACAACTGTTTTCAACACCGATAATAATATGAACTGTTTCTTGAGCACTAAATCAGCATATTAGAATGATTTCAGAAGGATCATGTGACACTGAAGGCCGATTTAATGGCTGCTGAAAATTCAGCTTTGCCATCACAAGAATAATTTGTTTTAAAGTATATTAAAATAGAAAACATATTAAATTGAAGTGATATTTCACAATAATAGAAAGAGACCTCTTTCATAATATTTTTCAGAAATCTTACCAAGCCCAAACTTAAAATATATATCTTTATATTACTTGGGTAAATATTATTATTATTATTATTATTATTATTAAAACGTTTTATTTTTGATATTTTATTTTTGTATTTTTATATGAATTATATTCTTTTTAAATTTGATTTTAAAATTTGATTTCTTTCTGTTTGATGGTAGGTGTTTTAATATAGTAATATAGAATGTCACATGACATTTGCAGCCCACATGATTGGCCAAAACATGTTTGCCTTTGAAACAAGATGGCGACATCCAGACTGAGCACGAATAGCTCTGTCCAGGTACATCAGCCCTCATATAAAGGAAGAAAGTTTAGGGTCCGGCCCTTTAATCTCACTTTGAATTGTGTCATTCACATCCAGGTCAAATTCATCAGCATGATGCCAGAGTTGATGCCAAGCGACTACACCAGGCAATCCGCAGCTCCTCTGGTGTCATGGCTACCAACCGTGTGGAGTTGAAGTGCGTCAACATGTCCCAGATCAGCTCTACAGGCTGCAGGAAGAGGACATTTTGTCTTGTCCACGTAGAGTAAGGAGTCCACCTCCTTCAGCATCATCTGTAGAGAGAAGAATGGAGTTGCAAATCGTTTGTCAAACTGTAAATTCATTTTCTATTTTTAGAAAAATAACATTGCTATTTCAGAAAAGAGTAATATGATTTTTTTTGACATCTTTCAAAAGGAAAGCAGCATTTTCTAGTGCAATCACTGTAACCTTTTTTTAAATGACAAGCCAAAAAATCAGCTTTTGCTTAAAATAGTTGTAGATATTTTAAACTAAACTTTAAATTGCAGTATTACTCACTGGTAAGAAGAGTCTCTGTGATGCACATGGCTTGAAAAGCTGACTCCACTCTTCATGGTTCTCATGGGGGAATGAAATGGAGTGAACAACATAGCTGAATTTTGCTCGGATGAAAGCTGGCCAGGAATCCAGCTGTACAAGTGGAAAATGCATTGGAAAAGAGTAAATCTTTCATCTCGTTATACAGTTTCTCAACAATTTAGTAGCAGATTAAAGGAATAGGTCACCCAAAAATGAAAATTTGCTGAAAATTGACTAATCCTCAGGCCATACAAGATGTAGATGAGTTTGTTTCTTCATCAGAACAGATTTGGATTACAGAAATTCAAGACAAAATCACCCATTTGCCTGTAATCTGAGCCTACCAGCTGAAACACAGGTGTGCTTGAGAAAGGCGTGATTTGGCAGTTTATGGTCTGTTGCATCACTGCTCAACATCTCAACAACGTTCTCCACATGCCAGCGTTCTCTCTTGACAATGAATCAGTAGAGGTAAGAACACCTTCGAGTCAGTGTGGAATTACACCGGCTGTTGTCATGCGCATCGTTTTCCTTTCACGCGGATTCGGAGTGTTGGACGTTTCCTGTACTTCTGACCTCCTATGAGCGAATAATATAGAAGATAAAATTCATCCTTTCAAAACAAACAAAACTTTTAAAACGCCACTTAAGTGAATTCCGCCAAACAAACATTGTCTTTAAACAAAATGAATGAAACGAATCTGATTTACAAACAACTTTTAAAATGCCGCTTAAGTGAATTCCGCCAAACAAACATTGTCTTTAAACAAAATGAATGAAACAAATCTGATTTACATATTGCATCACTCCTCATGGTGAGGTAAAAACCACAACACTTTGAAGACCCACAGCGAATATCATCCGCATGCATGTCAGGTGCATTTCACCACAAAAACGACCAAAATTCGATAATCACTCCCTTAAGATCTTCATTTGCCCTGAAAATAACTTTTACTTGACAACGGGATTCTAAATCTTACATTTTATTAAGAGATATTTCCTAAACTGCAATATATTTATATACCACCGTTCATCATAAAGGAGGGGATGAATTCAACATCTTACAAATACATTTGTCATTTTTAGTCATAAATGTTATGTTTCTTGTGGAATTAACAGAATTATATCAAGACAATCTAACACAAAACAGTGCTGGTAGAACTAGCCGCACAAGTGATGCAATCTATGACAAGTTTCAAATAAAACAGCATGAACAAGAACAAATTAAACAATTCATTTCTGCGCCTCATAAAACCGTACAAAAAGTCCTAACAGGTGCAACAAACAATTGAGAAAGGAAGTCATGTTTGGGTCACAGTTATTCATAGATGGCTTAATGCCCAGCATGTAATGCATTTAAAGTATATTAAAGTTACAATTTGCAACTGACATGTCATTAATGTAGAAGCAAATACGTTAACAAAAATGTTCCAGTTGAATGTTTTTAAGCCCCAGGGCTAATTGTCGAGACGTAATGGGTGCTGTTGCAGAAATGACAAATTGTGGTTTTAAAAAATAATGGTTTATGAAATTGTGTGACGATAATGAAGAGAACGAGAATGGGTGTCAATTTTCAAATCCAAACAGACAACAACACAAATGATTCATAATATTACCACGTGCTATAGAAATGAAATTGTCACAATTCAATCATCAAAATTGCTTACAAATTCTAGTTTATCTCAAGCTGACCTACTGGATATTGTAACAAACCAGGATGAGTGTATTGTGGTGAAATCCTATCTTTCTGATCTTATAACTGTGGTAGTAGTGAAAGATGGCTTATATTGCTGGGTTAAGTCTGCGTCTCGGTTAGTCTTGGCATACATAAGCGCGCTCCTGTGACTGTTCGTTTAAAATGGATATATTAGGTGCAGGAGACTGGAAGTAACGTTCGTAATCCACGGGTTCCTAGTGAGATTCCCCGTTGAGTGAGGAACCCTCCCCTCGTGGGGATGAGGATCTGGAGATCCCCTTCTCTGTGTTGTCTGAGTTGGATCCGCTCTGGCTGTGGTGGTCTCCAGATGCTGCGCTGGAGGACGAACTGGAGGAGGGCTTAGTTTTCTCTTTAAAGTCTGTTATGATAACCGTCAGATCTCCCACTGTCACTTCCAGATGTTGTGCGCTGCTCCGGTCCACATTTTTTAACCTGGGCCTGCAGGAAATGGAGCAAAGAACAGGTCAGACATGCTTGACATCACTCGAGCTGAATAATGGCACTGTTTTCTTCTGCAGAGCTTCTCTATAGCATTTCATAATTGATGAACTTGGCAACATCGACACCGAACTAAACTAAGCTGCACTGAGACACCATTGTCTTCTGTAGAGCTGCTTTACAGCTGAAATTTAAATAGTTTCATAATTGATGCATTTAGCAACATTAACACTGTAATTTAACCGTTTATAACTGTGAAGCTGTTTTGAAACTGAATCTGTATTATATAAAATAAATTGGCTTGCTGTATAAATACAATTGACTTTAATTGCTAGTATAATAGAGCATGGAAGTGAGCCTGGCAAGTATTTTCTCATTAATTTTCTCCACTGGCAATTAAAAAAAAAATCAGGGAGGCAATGAACCAAACTAATGATCAAAGAGATGAATCAGAGTATCAGAAACATTGATTTGAAGACTTTGAACAAAAACTCTGTATCCAACATCTCTCACAAGGGACTAAATGACAATGAATATATAATATACATACTACATATACATAATAGAGCCTGACCGATATGTTTTTTTTTGGGACCGATGCCTACCCATATTAGGGAGTAAAAAAAGTCAGATATCGACATATCGGCCGATATTCTTTGTGTATATTATAGCACAGTACCAGTCAAAAGTTTGGACACACTTCCCATTCGTGTGTCAAAGCTTTTGACTGGTACTGTATATAGAATACAGAATATATATATATATATATATATATATATATATATATGCCTACCCATATTAGGGAGTAAAAAAAGTCAGATATCGACATATCGGCCGATATTCTTTGTGTATATTATAGCACAGTACCAGTCAAAAGTTTGGACACACTTCCCATTCGTGTGTCAAAGCTTTTGACTGGTACTGTATATAGAATACAGAATATATATATATATATATATATATATATATATATATATATATATATACACACACAGAGTGGGTACAGAAA